CCCAATGTTCCTAGTTTAGTAAGCTATATTTAAATGTTTTGAAAGATTTATACAGTGATTTGCTTCTTAGTCAACTTTGTTGCAAGAAGTTACTACTGCGTATTTTGGTTAGAAAATGTAAAGTGTTCTAAGAGGTGATCAAAGGGAGGAGACAGCCATACCACCCATTCAATATGCCATGATATTTATAAGCTCCAGGCAAAATGGGATAATCTGAAACAACTTTGTACCCCAAAACTTCTTTGTAGACATTTTCACGTTTTTTCTTGATATTTTCTAAACAGCTTATCCTTTCCAGCATCATCATTTTGATCCTCTTAATGAGAAGCATGCACTTTACATGCACACGACTTGAGCTTCTGGGTGAAACAACTGACAATAACACGAGCCTACAAATTAGGCCATATTATCACAAACCCACAGGAACATCTTAAAACCAGTGCAATTTATAAGTGCACGGCAGTTAGTAATATAAAATACAAAATCATTGGCCTATCTCGAGGATTCGTTTTATTTCTGTTCATGTGGCACATATATATGTGGCTTAGTGGCAATGCATTTATTTGCAATGTGGGCCAGTCCTCAGGTCAAAGACAGCTTTGTATATTTATTCTAGCCTTCAGGGTTTGGGTTTTTTTTACATAGTATCTTGTTTGTAGAATGGTAGTTAGGTCAGGAACTTTAAAAATTGTGCTTTGTTGTTGGGATTATGGTGGGTTTGGGTTTTTTTTGGGGGGTATGAAACAAAAATAACACCGTATTTATTCCGTCAGTTTATAATATGAAGTCTGTACATAGTCTGTTGAATTCCAGCATGTGCTGTCAGAATGGGACATTGCCATTGAAAAAAGAAAAGCACCGTGGCGTGCTGATAAACCCTTACAATGGTTCATAGGGGTTTGCAGTAATCATGTTTAGCAAAGGTTTTTCTGCGATTGAGATTTTAGGGAAAAATATCCAGCAACTTTAATGTTTATATCACTGACCTACAATTTACTCTGGGCTGTAATAGAAAATAGGACTACTGTGGGTTATAAGGGGGTCTTCTAGCATGTGTCCCCTCCCAGCTCCTCAAATGTGCTTGCGGGTATAGATACGCCAGTATATCTTTCCGTCCTTCCTCATTCACAAGACGTGCTCAGCTATTCCCAGCTGAAGCTGAAGCTGGGCATATCGGTATAATACATTAAGGCCACACAGGTGTATGCTCAAGGAAGAGATGCCTTAGTATGACAGTGGTGATTGCTGTAAGCGTCTCTTGCATGGCTTTGGGTTGCTTCTGAAAAAGTATGTTTAAAATCATTGTTAATCTCGAACTGCTTTTTTATATGTTAACTGTGTTTTATGGTCATCCTATTATACAGAGATGGGAGTAGAAAAATTATTAAGGTGACAAGTAGGCAAATCCAGCTGTTAGGTGAAATACCCAGAATAGGAGGAGCATTTCAGTGGAAACGTTTGCACCTTCCACAGTCACGCTACTGTCTTTCTTTTTTCACTCTATACCTGCGAAGTATCAGGTATTCAATCTTAATGTGATTTCTAATTACAGCTGAATGTAATTGCCATTTTTTTGGAGCTTGTTATTAGTGTTCTCACGATTCATTTGCAGAGCTTACTCTGCCAGTGCAACTTGTAGCTAAGAGTTTGGTGACTTCAACTTCGCTGGGTGCCAGGGTGCCATGGTGTGATGAATGCTTTCTGGTGGCTGCGGGAGAGCATCAATCCCACCAGCTGCTAAAAGTCCCACGAGAGGACCCCTTCCTGGTTTAGGGCTTTCCGTGGAAGTAGGGCTAAGAACTGCAATGTGTTGTGATGCACTGTGCCCCTACAGAGCAGGATCTGTCTCCTAAAGCTGATCCGTTCCTACAGCTCTCTTGCGCCTGGAGCGTGCCTGAGACACTCACTGTGCTGAGTCTTGCCCACGACCTCGAGCAGCGTCACCCCGGGTACTGTTCATGGGTCATAACAGCCTAGTATTTTTTTCTTTTTTCCATTCCCCTTCCCTTGAAAAAATAAAGCAAGTGTCGATTATAAACTATAAACCCGGCCTCTGACTTGAAATCACCCACAAGACTTGAGAAGGAAAACCGTCCGGGCAAGCCCGGGCAGGGCAACTGGCCTGATTTTGGCCGGGGAAGGAGGTAGAGCGAGGACGGGCAGAGGAGTTCGACGAACTCCGGGGCACACGCTCCGAGAGGAAAGTGCCTTTGAGGAGGGAGGCCGGAGGCGTTTCGCAGGGAGCGGTGCCGGCGGGGGCGAGGGGCCGGGGCGCTTTCCTCACCCACCGCGGGGACGAGAAGGGCGCGCTGAGCGCTGGGGAGAAAGGCAAAGGAGGAAGAGGGGCGCGGGGCAGGCGGTTAAGGAAAACGCTGTTGCTGGCTTTCTTCTTTGTGTACTCCCATCTCCCGAAATTCGCCGTAAATTCTACCCTCCTTTCCCTCGCCCACGAGAGCGAGCGAAAGAGAGCGTGCCTGTGCTCGCCCCGGGGCCCCCGGGCGGGGGAGGCTGCCGGGCGGCGTTCCCGCGGCGCAGCCAC